CCGCGGGTGTTCAGACAACGTGCGTCGGCATGGCAACTGTGTCCACCGTCCACGCTGCACTCCACGATGTCGTCACAGAGCCGCTGTCCATCACCGGTGTAACCATTTTTACAGATACAGACGAATGTGCCTGGCAAGTTATGACAGCTCGCCTGCCCATGGCACGGGGGCGATGTGCGGTGACATTCATTCTCGTCGTGACACACGCCGTCAGCGTTCTCTTTGGCGTACCCGCCTCGACACTCACACTCATAAGAGGTGGCGGTGTTCACGCACTCGGCGTTTGCGGCCGTGCACGAGTGTGTGTCCTCGTGGCACTCGTCCACGGGCGGGCACTGAGCGTCCGGAGCCACGACCGCAGCCGCCTCGGCTTGGACGGCGGAAGGGCAAGTGCACGCGTACTTCCCGGGCAGGTTTGTACAGAGGGCACCGGGGGCAGCACACTTAGCAGCCACCGCCTCTCCAGTAGTGTCACATTCATCCATGTCTGCAAGGAGAACAGCATGCACAGGATAAAATTAATCACTGGTTTGAGGGGAAAGACGCAAATGGGGAAAGTCCGAAGAAAAGATTGACGGTCACCACCAGGACTGGAACCTGGGACCTTCGCTTGAGGACAGCGATGCTCTAACCACTGAGCTAAGGTGTAGCCACCATCCGAGCAGGGAAAGTTCAACTTTTTCTTCAGACTTCGTAAGTTATGAGAATCGTAACTCGCACTTCCTGTGGATCCACACAGGCGGGTGGGACGCAGCCATCACTGGTAAAACTATTGTAGTGAATGAACTGTTAATGGCCAACTGTGTGAAAAGCGCTTCCAAGAGTAAGTAACCAAAAGTGTGCAACTCCATTCTTGAGCTGTGATGGGTTTGTTGTAATCGTATGTCTAACATTACTTCTCCATCACTGCATCAGCTCAACCGCCACCACTGGACTGCCTTTTTACACTCTTTTTATTGACGAATAAACAAGAACACGGAAAACGACTACATCTTGACAAGACGACAGACCAAAGACTAGCTCACACAGTTTCGCGCATGCGCACAACACCACCAACCAATGACGCGTGTCCACAGCAACCAAGACGAAACAAACACGTGACACCAAATCTACCTCAGGTTCAACCACAGCGGAGTTGTTTTATTGCGTCACTCTATTGCAGAATATGATCAAGCGCGTATGCTTTCCCGAGCTCGCTTTGTAGATACGACGACACTTCATCAGGCCCAGTTGTTTTGCTTTCGACTACTGTAGCTGATGAGATGCACAAATTCGTTGTATAGGTCAGACCTCGCTATAACGTAATCTCTGCGGGATGGGAGAAATTATGTTATAGCGGGGTTTATGTTATACTGTAAGACATGTTATTATAACGAGTCGCAAATTTAACGATTGTCCAAAATTCATAGGTTAACGAGAAGATATGTTAACGATCTTGCAGTATTCTGCCATATCCACACACAGCATATAGCATAATTATATGAAGCAGTACGGCTTCAACGGATCTTATTATAACGAAGAAATATCATCCGTTAAAACGTTAGATTTGCTTCCTCGTTATATATACATGTCTTACAGTAGTGAGTTGGGCACACCAACTTGCAACATGTATGTCAAAATGACGCTCTTCACTTACTGATTACGACTGCACTGTTTTACATACAGGTATGATGATGACTAGCAAAGATGTGTACAGGCTTGTCAGCAAAGGGGTGACAAGAGCCATGTAGTGCGTGTACTTGTACATGTGACATGATTAGAGCCTACAAAAAGTAATGGGAGTAGTAAAATACCGGTGTTTTACTACTCCCTGCTTCCGAGGTGGACGGCTCAGTCTCGAATTCGTCGCGAGAAGGCATGCATGCATACTGACCAACCCTCCCGTTTTTCCCGGGAAAATCCCGGAAAATCAACACTCCTCCCGGGGTCCCGGGGATTTCAAGCAAACTCCCGGAAATACCACAGTTTTGTCTGATACAGGATTTTCCTGAAAACTCCATGGATTTGCCCAGAGTTTCCGGGTTTTTTGAACTTTTTTCAAAGGTATGTACGGTGCTCATTCGCACTGCGAACTGTGCTGTACGCAGAGCTGCAGAGTCGAACGTTTTTTGGCGGGAAAAGCTCTTTTTCACTTGTTTTTGTGCCATCCAGGGATTTTGAGAAAAATCCAGGGATTCTGCATGTCTTGTCAAGGGATTGAGATTGTGGTGGTTGGTCAGTATGTGCATGCCGTGTACATAGTCATTTCTATACGAGTTTTCGCGTTATGCTGAGGTCTCCGTGCGCCCGGGACCCAGCAAACAGTGCGTTATAGCGAACATTACGCTATAGCGGATTATGTTATAGCGAGGACAGTTTGTACAGAAGTGCTGCGGTTTTGGCAGGGACATTCACATGTGTACGTTATCGTGAGGTTAATGTTATAGCGGGGGTCGTTAAAGCGAGGTCTGACCTGTACTTTGATCTCTGGCTATGTATGATGGCTTCAGTAGGCTAAACAGCCGACAAAGACTGATAACATACAAAACTGGTACCCATTGGGACGGCATTGTATCGCTGACACGTGCACCTTTGGTGCTGGCGCCCAACGTGGGGCTCGAACCCACGACCCTGAGATTAACCCTTTAATTAAGAGCCACAGGAAATTTTCAAAATTCTGCATTCTTTCGTGTTCCTTGGACCATAGCTTCAGTTCTACTCACTCGATCCTCACAATCTAGGGCTTCCTTGAAAGGTCGCCGCGAGAGGAAGAGAATGAGGTCGATCATGATAGCCAGCACACCGTCTATCCAGCGCTAGATCGCAGCGACAGTACGAAAAATGCCCCAAATGCGTCCAATTGCGTCCCGCTCCAGATATTTCATTTTACTCGATCGTGGAGTTCCAATTTTCTCGCTGTGTACTCTTGACAATATCAACAGTGAAACCCGTGCAAATTCGAGTAAACTAGCGTGACGAAAAGTCTCAAAATTCTCAATACTAAAGTCGCACTGCGCACTTTTGAAATTGCCGCGATCGCGGCTCAACTTACGAGTGATTTATCTCAGGAACCGTTGCTCGCATCACTTCGCGGATTGTTTCTCCCGACAGGTGAGAGTTTTCTCCTCGCCCTGGATATTTCGATCACTGGATTTGAGCGAGATTGGACTGAGTTACGCCAGCACCTTTGGTGCTGGCGCCCAACGTGGGGCTCGAACCCACGACCCTGAGATTATAACAATCTCATGCTCTACTGACTGAGCGACAGAATTCGTTCCTTTGCTCTTGTCTGTACTCCATCTTTTGAGCACGCAATGGAAGAAGTTGTGGAAAAGTTTTCGAAAGTGCGGAGAGCCCGAAGTTAGGTCTCCTTCGGATTGTTCTTGTATTTCTGCCTCCAAGAAAGCAACGACGTAAAACGCTGTGAGCAGGGGATACGCTGGTGACATCTGTCGCGATATGCATGAGTATTCTATATCAATATGCATGACTGAACTGCAACTAAAATAATAATATTATTGTTGAGTGCCGGTGGTGTGACTGATGATTTTTCTTCCTTTCATATCTGGCTTGCAAGTGTTGAGTTTCGGAGAGAAAAGAGCAGCACGTGGCATGTGGCCTCTGATTTCCTAACACTTTGAAATTCTCCGTGAAGTCCAAATTTGAGAGTGCATCTTGCGATCCGAATTAGTTTTCTAGTCCACGCTATCAAGTATGTACTCTTGACGTTATTCTACTCTTCTGGATTGTGTACAACGTGAATGTAGCTGGCATGCGATGCGCGAGCTTGCTGATGCAAGGATGTCGTGTCACACTTTGATAGGCATGTGATGTTTGAACTTTAGGCGGTGCACGGTGTGTAAGCTGCGATTGCTGCCTTTTATAGACTACATATCCATGTACGGCTTGCTAGTACGGTCCACGGCGCGGGTTGTACCCCGCGCTGCGGTTGATGTGCGGAATCTTTGTACAACTAGTTCGGCTTTTCTTTTGGCTCGCAACATTCTGCGCTGCATGCGAGTGTTTTGCTTCAGTTCTAGTTTTCACAGTGGCTTTTTTACAGTTGTCAATATCTGATGATAGTTGAAGAAATTAATCTTATGTCTGGAAGCCCCAGGGCGAAGGTGTGTTCAGTCGCGGCTCGGTTGCTGGTCAGCCGTCCGCGACAGTAGATTGCATGTAAATAGATTGTTTCCCGACAACATCTTCAGTCTTCCAAAATGGTCAACTATTATGCCTGGAGAAGTTACTCTCTCCTCAGCATACACACCCACCCACACCGACACACACACAAACCGGTATACAAAGACACATCGACAGAGACAAGCACACACACAGACATACACACAAGCACCCCCCCCCCCCCCCCCACACACACACACCTACACCAACACACACCCCCCACCACCCAACCCCCACACCCCACCACCCCCACCCCCCACCACCCCCCACCACCCCCACCACCCCCACCACCCACACACACATACAAAGCAAGACTGACCTTGACACGTTTGCCCATCTCCAGAGAAACCAACCTTGCACTGACACGTGTAAGACTGACCAGTCACGGTACACGTTGCGTTGCTATGACAATCACATTTGACAATGACTGCAGAGAAATGTAAAGAAAGAGGAGTGGTGCTCAACAAAACCTGGAGGGGAAGATTTGTTAGGGACCATCGCAAAAGTTCGCAGAAGCCCCCGAAACGAAGACCGTTAGTTTCGGGCCTGACCCCCCTCCCTCCCCCCTCAAACGAAACGACAGTCACAATATGGGCTTCATTATTTCACTTGGATGCTCACACATAATAATTATTATAATTTACTACACAAGCATTGTTGTATCAGTGTGTAACAATGTACAGCACTTTATAAATGCAACGATGATATCACCTTGCAGTGGGTGATCTAAGAACGAGAACAGCTAGAGCTATGCAGTTGTATCCTTTGAGCATTACAATGAACGTTGATTGGTGTATATTGCTTTCACCTTCCCCATGTACCAAAAGAGGACTACGCGTCCTGACAAGCGATCTACGCCGGCTGTGATGGCATGCTAATCTATATCAGCTCCTACATGTCGTCAATACTTTATTGAATTGAAGCCCGGTTTGCGATTTTCGACACCGACTCCCTCCCCCCCCCCCCCCCCCCCAAACGTATGCTCTTCGTTTCAGGGGCTTCTGCGAACTTTTGCGATGGTCCCTTACAGGAAACTGTTTTCTATCTCGCCGACACCATCACTCCCACGGTATTTTCCTGCAATTGCAATAAATTACAGTGAAACCTGCCTAAGACAAGGCGCGTAGCAGCGCCGTTGGAGGAAGTCCGGTTGGAGGGGGTCTGAGGGCACCCCTGGGAAATTTTTGAAATTAGGGTGCAAAATTCTGCATTCTGGGCGCTTCTGGGCGAAAAAGTGGTCCGGCCAAAGCCGGACCAGCTACTACGTCCCTGAAGACGACCGCTCAAGGGACCTTCAAAACGCGGTCTCTGTTACCAGGTGATCTCCTAATCCAGGGTCATTTAGCTGGAAATAGCATCCCTTGGTCTTGGTTTCAGTGGTCTTCCAGGACAGGTGGTCTTCCAGGACAGGTGGTCTTCCAGGACAGGTGGTCGTCCAGGACAGGTGGTCTTCCAGGACAGGTGGTCTTCCAGGACAGGTGGTCTTCCAGGACAGGTGGTCTTCCAGGACAGGTGGTCGCCTTGACAGTTGTTACTGTAGGTAGTTGGCTACCGGTAGATTAGCTGCAGTAGAGCCTGCGAGTATTCAGCCTCCTAGCCTAGACTGTTCTTAATCTCATTTACTACAGTTTAGACCATGGAACGGTACGGAGAGCCTGTTTTAGCCAATCAGCGCTCGTCTACCCATGGTTATATTGGCCAGTATAAATCCCGCTCGGGATTCATATCGAATATAAATCCCGGTGCACGGTACGTACGCTAGGGCACTGCCACCGTACACATTCACTGCCTGGTGGTTTAGGAAACGGCATGGGACGTGGAAGTGGTAAAAGAAGAGAGAGAGAGTTAGAGAGATAGAGAGAAAGAGAGAGAGAGAGAGAGAGAGAGAGAGAGAGAGAGAGAGAGAGAGAGAGAGAGAGAGAGAGAGAGAGAGAGAGGGAGTTGGAGAACAGACTTTACCTTATCAAGAGAAAAAAATCAGTGAAGGAAGGGGTGCGTGCGTGCGTGGTTTCGTGTGTCCGTACGCATGTGTGCGTCAGAGTTAATGAACAGGAGAGAGAGAGAGAGAGAGAGAGAGTGAGAGGGAGGGAGTTGGAGAACAGACTTTACCTTAGGCCACCCTTTGTTAATTCATTGTTTAACGTCCTTTTTTTCGCGAAAAGGTACGCGGGAGGGCGAAAAAAAAGCCCATTCCAAAAACTGGAAACCCCAATCAAACATTTTGACCAGTAAAGCATGGGATATATACAATATTTCTGGGTCTAACGGCACTTGCAGGCATAGAACAACACTCTTTGATGGTACATTGGAGCACATGCCTGATGAATCCAACAAAACAGGTACATAGCATGGAGTTAGCATGTTATGAATTCATTACATCTGGATTTTTACTAGGACACACACCGTACGATATTTAAAAGCCAACAAAAAAATGAAAAAGAACACAAGACAAAGGCATGCCCTTGAGGCAAGATTATTTATTATTATGATCGTCACACTGTGAAACTACACAATCATGTATTTACAACTTCGCATATTATTGGTACTACTACTTTCTTGTTTTTTTTCCGGTCGGAGGCAAAAAGGTACGCGGGCGCGGACGTTAAACAACGAAAAAAGAAAGGGTGGCCTTATCAAGAGAAAAAATCAGTGAAGGAAGGGGTGCGTGCGTGCATGGTTTCGTGTGTCCGTACGCATGTGTGCGTCAGAGATAATGAACAGGAGAGAGAGAGAGAGAGAGAGAGAGAGAGAGAGATAGAGAGAAAGAGAGAGAGAGATAGAGAGAAAGAGAGAGAGAGAGAGAGAGAGAGAGAGAGAGAGAGAGAGAGAGAGAGAGAAAGAGAGAGTGAGAGGGAGTTGGAGAACAGACTTTACCTTATCAAGAGAAAAAATCAGTGAAGGAAGGGGAGCGTGCGTGCGTGGTTTCGTGTGTCCGTACGCATGTGTGCGTCAGAGTTAATGAACAGGAGAGAGAGAGAGAGAGAGAGAGAGAGAGAGAGAGAGAGAGAGAGAGAGAGAGAGAGAGAGAGAGAGAGAGAGAGAGAGAGAGAGAGAGAGAGAGAGAGAGAGAGAGGGAGAGAGGGAGAGAGAGGGAGAGAGAGAGAGAGAGGGAAAGAGGGAGAGAGGGAGAGAGGGAGAGAGGGAGAGAGGGAGAGAGAGAGAGAGAGAGAGAGAGAGAGAGAGAGAGAGAGAGAGAGAGAGAGAGAAAGAGAGAGAGAGAGAGATAGAGATAGACATAGAGAAAGAAAGAAAGAAAGAGAGAGAGAGAGAGAGAGAGAGAGAGAGAGAGAGAGAGAGAGAGAGAGAGAGAGAGAGAGAGAGAGAGAGAGAGAGAGACGGACAGAGATTCAGAAAAAAGACAGACAGACTCAAAGGCAGTCAGAAGTTAGTAGACAAAATGGGAAAGGGAGAGCAAGCATGCAACGAGAAAACACACACACACACACACACACACACACACACACACACACACACACACACACACACACACATGTACAATTGTACACACACACATGTACACACACACGCACACACACACACACACACACACACACACACACACACACACACACACACACACACACACATATACACACACACATGTACACACACACATGTACACACACACACGCACAGAGTGTCTGACGCACACATACTCGTGCACGCTGTGCCGTTTCCAGTGTAGCCACTCTTGCACTGACACGTGTACGACCCGCGGGTGTTCAGACAACGTGCGTCGGCATGGCAACTGTGTCCACCGTCCACGTTGCACTCCACGATGTCATCACAGAGCCGCTGTCCATCACCGGTGTAACCATGGTTACAGCTACAGACGAACGTGCCTGGCAAGTTATCACAGCTCGCCTGCCCGTGGCACGGGGCCGGTGTGCGGAAGCATTCGTCCTCGTCGTGACACACGCCGTCAGCTTCTGCTTTGGCGTACCCGCGTCGACACTCACACTCGTAAGAGGTGGCGGTGTTAACGCACTCGGTGTTTGCGGCCGTGCACGAGTGCGTGTCCTCCGAGCCGCACTCGTCCACGGGCGGGCACTGAGCGTCCGGAGCCACAACCGCCGCCGCCTCAGCAGCGGCAGCGCTAGGACACGTGCACGCGTACGTCCCGGGTAGGTTTGTGCACCGGGCACCGGGGGCAGCACACTTAGCTGCCGCCGCCTCTCCAGGACGGTTACATTCATCCATGTCTGCAACGATAACAACACGGACAGGATATATAATCACTGGTTTGGGGGGAAAGACGCAAACGGGGAAAGTCCGAAGAAAAAATTGACTGTCACCACCAGGACTCGAACCAGGGACCTTCGCTTGAGGCCAAGCGATGCTCTAACCACTGAGCTTAGGTGTAGCCACTATCCGGGCAGGGAAAGTTCAACTGTTTCTTCGGACTTCGTAAGTTACGAGAATCGTAACTCGCACTTCCTGTGAATCCACACAGGCGGGTGGGACACAGCCCTCACTGATAAAATCATCATAGTGAATGAACTGTGAATGGACAATATATTATGTGAAAAGCACTTCCAAGATTAAGTAACGAAGAGTGTGCAACTCCTGTCTCGAGCTGTGATGGTTCAACCACAGCCGAGTTGTTTTATTGCATCATCCTATCAGGCGCGTAGCACCGCCGTTGGCGATGGTCCGGCCAGGGGGGTCCGGGGGGATCTCCACGCGGAATTTTTTTGAAATTAGGGGGCAAAATCCTGCATTCTGGGCACTTTTGGCATTGTTTTACTATGGTGGTCGTGGTCGGGCGAAAAAGTGGTCCGGCCAAAGCCGGACCGGCCGGTCCGGCTGCTACGCCCCTGCCTATAGGCGAAGTATGATCAAGTGCATATGCTTTCCCGAGCTCGTTCTGTAGATACGGCGACACTTCATCAGGCCGCATTGTTTTGCTTTCGACTACTGTAGCTGACGAGATGCACAAATTACTTGTGCTCGATCTCTGGCTATGCAGGATTGGCATCAGTGAGCCAAACAGCCGACAAAGACTGATATCATACAAAACTTCCACCGCGGGCTGGGGATCGTCGAAATGGACACTCTTGGATATGACTGTAGTCTTGGTGCTCCTCTTCTTTGCTCTGTTGAATCATCTCTCGTCTGCACATTTTAATTCTTTCCTTTGCTATTGCCTGTACTCAATCTTATGAGTAGGCAATGGAAGAAGTTGTGGAAAAGTTTTCGAAAATGCGGGGAGCCTGAAATTTGGTCTCTTTCGGATTGTTCTTGGATTTCTGCCTCCAAGACAGCAACGACGTAAAACGCTGTGAGCAGGGGCTATGCTAGTGACATCTTCAGTCTTTCCAAATGATGCATCTTATGTCAGGAGAAGTTAGTCACTCCTCAGCATACACACAGACATGCCCCTCGTCCACACCCAGACACCGACACACACATCCCGGTATACAAAGAGACACCGACATACACACAAGCACCCCCCCCCCCCACACACACAAGCACCCCCCCCCCCCCCACACACACACACAAGCACCCCCCCCCCCCCCACACACACACACACAAGCACCCCCTCCCCATGCACCAACACATGCTCCCCCCCCCCCACACATACACACGCACACAGAACAAGACTGACCTTTACACGTTTGCCCATCTCCAGAGAAACCAACCTTGCACTGACACGTGTAAGACTGATCAGTCACGGTACACGTTGCGTTGCTATGACAATCACATATGTCAATGACTGGAGAGAATGTGAAGAAAAGAGGAGTGGTGCTCAAGAAAACCTGGAGGGGAAGATTTGTTGCATGAAACTGTTGTCCATCTCGCCGACATCATCACCACCACGGTCTTTCCCCGCAATTGCAAGAAATTAGATAGCTTGGGGCCGTCTGTAAAATTAATATCGAACCATTTTCACCAAATGGCGAGGTGACAAAAATCGACATTTTTGTATACTTTATTCATGCATGAATGTAAACCGGTGGAGACAATGTGCAATAAAACCTATTTTTATCGTTTTATTGCACATTGTCTCCCCCGTTTTACATTGCATGAATAAAGTATACATAAATGTCGATTCAGCTTGTCTTATTGATTGCGGTTATCATTATTTTATTAGATTTTACTTCCTCCGCAAAGCAAAACTTCGTTGCGTTTTTAGTGTTCTTGTCATGATATTTCTGTCGGCATTAGACATTCATGTCAGTGATCTATCCCCTACATATGGTAGCCAAGTTGTCGTCCATTGTTCTGACAGGCTTTTGAACCTCCGAAAAGCGTGGAGTCCTTTGAAAAAAAATCGGCGAAGCAGAACCGTTTCTCGACAGGATGTCACCAGAACATAACCCCAGGCGATCTCCACGGTCAAACCGTGTCTTGGAAACTTGTAAAGGCTGCGGTACAAAAGCTGACAGCGCTGGATGCCAAAGTCAGTGAGGATGCAGACTCGATGTCATCAGGGAGTGGTCGTCATCCGATTCAGACGAAGAGTGAAGCTGAACTGTTTTGAAACGAGCTGTGTGACATCTGTAAATATAATAATATCTTTCATATGCTGCCTTGTTTTCCACTTTGCTAAGCGTGTTCGAAGCCATAGAATGATTTGGACTGAACTGTAAAAGCGCAACGAAGTTTTGCTTAACGGAGGAAGTAGTTTAGACCCAACCCCTTCCTCCCTCCCCCTCAGAACATAAAAAATGTTACAGGACATATGCATGCTTAATACAACAACAGTTGCAAGTGGTCCTAAGGTCATGTACATGTATCAATGTTTTCTGAAACGAAATCGGTCAACCGCCTCCCACCCCATAATGACATTTATAATATTTCGTTTTGTGAAAAACGTTCGACATTACTTTATGGACGACCCCTTAGCTACCGGTATATTAGCTACAGTAGAGCCTCCGAGTATCGAAGAAATTGTTTCCCAATAGTCCATTTTTTTACAATGGTCACAGCTCACAGGCAAGGACAAAAGATTGTATAGTGATGATGAGGCTTTTTGCCCTCAGCCGACCTGAGGTATCGGCGTCATGGGGACATAAAACGCAAAAACAAAAAGAAGAAGAAGAAAATGGAAGGACGCCACACCTGTGCCTGTCTCACCTTTCTTCTCTTAGGGACCGTCTCTGCAGAACTTCACCCATACTAACTTGCACTGCACCAAGCCTCACCACCACTGCCACGATTCAGGTTGTGCGTGCTTCCCCTAGCTGCATCTCATGTTAAGTGGTCTTTGTAAAAAATAAAAAAAATAAAAAAAGCCAACTGGATAGAAGTGAGAGGGGGCGGGGGGTTCTGGGTAGTGTTTAAATGTCCTCTGTGGAAGACGAAAGTGTGGCCAACTGTCAGATGACCATGGGTATAATAGTACTGTTGGTCGCCGAAGAACTGGAGACGGGGGGGGGGGGGGGGGGGGTGGTCAGCCTCCTAGCCTAGACCGTTCTTATTCTCATGCATTACAGTGTATGCTCAGTTGAGTCACCGCGTATACATTGGTGTGCTGTGCCTGATGAAATTCTAGCCTGGTCGTTTTTCGGCGCCCGGCAGTACCGCAGTGGGTGGTGTTGTCTGTGAAACACAGCAGCTCGCTCTAGCTTGTTTCCATACTACACATCAACACAGCTTGTCACCATGCTACGCCTCAAGCAAACTTTTGTTCACATTATAGTACTGTCGGTCGCTGAAGAACGGGAGGTAGCCTCCTACCCTAGACCATTTTTATTTTATTTTCATGCGCCTGTCCTCTCCACACCACACACTCCGGCCGCTTGTGGACATGCCACATACTACCACGGCTTGTCAACACGCCACATTTCGCCACAGCTTGCCTATTCAAGGTCGCTTGTACCTACAGCCTGTTCCATGCCCATTGTCAATGCAGATATATTCCATGCAGGCATGTAAAGATGGGCTGATCCATACTCTCACATACAGGTACTCACACGCTGATGCACGTACTCACACGTTGATGCACATACTCACACACACACACACACCATTGGACCATTGGACGCCCATCGCCGGAGGCGATGATAGCGATGCTACAGCAGAAGCCATAGCAACTTGTGCTGGGATTGCACCATTCAACAGCTTGCAAGGCTGAAGAATTGACCGCCACTATTCAGCCTGGTCTACACCACACAGCTATGAAGTGGCTTTTTCTGGCCAGTGAATCCCTACTTTTTGGTCTTTTTAATTTTTTTCCCGCACACACATGACACCACATACTCCGGCATGCACTGGCTGTTGGTAACCACCCAGAAGAATGAAAGAAAAGTCGGGAAGAGTCTGAGAAAGAGAAGAAAGACGCGTGTGACCATAATCGTCGGGAATCGAACCCGCAACCTAGCGATTGGAAATCGCTGCACTACCACTGCACCATATGGGACACACACACACACACACACACACACACACACACACACACACACACACAAACATACACACATGCAAATACATACACACATACAAATACACACATGCAAACACACGTACCCACACGCAAACACACGTACACACATGCAAACACGCATACACACACAAATACAAAATACAAACACACACACACACACACACACACAGATACATGCATGTGCACAGACGCTAAGTGAATTAATGATTATGTAGATATACTCACCGTGACACTCTGGTAAATTCTTGTAAATAGCTTTTCCATCAGGTGATCTTTCACATTTACTATGGGACAAAGTGGACAGTTTAAAACCAGTAGGACATTCTACCCCATAATCTGAAGACGTCTTTTCAGTTACGTCTCCAAAAACACCTGTTGCATATGCGTGACCATGGTGGATTGTTGGTACTTTACAAAGTGGAACTAAACACATCAAATGGTCCACACAAACACACACACACACACAAACGCAAATATACACACACACACACGAGCACGCACACGGAAATGCGTATGAATGCATGCACCTGCCCCAGACACTCAACATGTCAAACAAGATCCACAATTCCCCCTGAAAAAAGGACAAAATATACAGTATACAAAGAGGCGTTTAGCAATGCGAGAAATAGAACAAACGGTGCCAACATAATACCACGTAACAATCATGAAATGCAAAATGTATAAAGCGTGATTCGTACACGTTTGTTCCATTTATCGCATTGTTAACTAAATATATAGCGCAGATTGAATATTTCGCTCCTGCTCTTGTAGCAGTTGAGCACTCTTGCATGGGGTAGCGCCTTTGCTGTTTGCATTATGCAGAGCTCACTGACTTGTCAGTTTGAGCACTCTGGCAAGGTACGTTTGGGCCTGGTTTAAATCTGGCTTTGGAAAATTAATTTTCATTGTTACCAGGTTTGGCCTCATTTCCTCTGTGCTGCGTTGATGAGTCCACAAAGGACGAAACAGTTCTCTCCGCAGATTGAGTAAATAGAAATTATGATTTTTTAAAGGGGAAGTATACCCTAAAATCAAACTTTTTCCCAGTTGTAGTCTTTGGGGTGCTGAGTCGAATGACCTTGGTCCTAGGGAGTTGAGACGCTCCCTTCCTCCTTTATTCCCAATCGAACTCGCGCACTTCCACCGAAACTGGGTGACTGTGCTCTACTAGATGGGGATTTGTATGCAAAGTGTCACTAAAAGCGCCATTCCGTTCCTATAAAAGCATGGATGACCGCGATTGGTTTATATATTGTAGTCTTTCTGGACGCTAAGTCAACTGGTTTTGGTCCAAAAAGTCTGCAAAGCAGCGTTCTAACCTTGTTCCCAATCGAACACGGTTGAGTAAGCAGTTATGTGCAGGTGCGTACACCAGTCGACTGGTCACCGTGCCTGCAGGCTACAACTTTTACAGCGTTCCTGTCACTCGAGTTGAACCTTTGACTTGAACCTTGGTGTGAAAGTTGTAGCCTGCAGGCACGGTGACCAGGCGACTGGTGTACACAACAGCACATAACTGCTTACTCAACCGTGTTCGATTGGGAACGAGGTCAGAACGCTGCATCGCAGACTTTTCGGACCAAAACCAGTCGACTTAGGGTCCAAAAATGACCACAACATATGAACCAATCACGGTCATCCGTGCTTTTATAAGAACAAAATGGCGCTCTTAGTGACATTTTGCATACAAATCCCCATCTAGTAGGGCACAGTCACCCAGTTTCGGTGGAAGTGCGCGAGTTCCATTGGGAATAAAGGAGGAAGGGAGCGTCTCAGCTTCCTCAGACCAAGACCATTCGACTCAGCACCCCGAAGACTACAACTGGTGAAATTTGATTTTTAGGGTATACTTTGTAAAATGGAAATTGTGGGCACAAGTTATGCGATCGAGTCCACCAACTAAACTAGATTTTGAACAGTCAGACGTGTTTAGCTGGTGGACTCGATCGCATAACTTGTGCCCACAATTTCCATGTTACAATTTTCCCTTCGCTGACCATCTGAGTTGTTACGGTATACTTGCCCTACAAGCACTACAATCTGCCTGATGCGTCCTACAATCTTGTAGGATGCATCACGCAGCTTCATAAGTAAAGATTCGCTTGTCAGCAACTCTGACTCACACTCAATCACTGCTTTTCAGGAATTCGTTTCAGGAAAAAAATCAACGTTTCGGTCATAAAATAACCATCGTCAGCAATGAAGTGGGAACACTTGTTAGGATGGGTTAATACAGTATGATATCCATTAAAATACAAAGATCTGTGCAGGATTTCGCTTAATACTTACTGGTGAAACGAAGAGGAATTGTCAGTTTTGAAGAACCGGCAGTTGTAGTGACGGTAATGGTGTAATTTCCAGTAGCCCCATCAATAAGTGGGAACCATATGGTAAGACTGGACAAGAAACAACCATTAACCTCACTCAATGATGTCTGTTCTTGATGTGGTATATCAATCGGACTTCCCTGTTCTCGACTCCATACAATATTGGCTTTCTGAGGTGCTGGCTTGATGGTGGAGTTGATACACACGGACAGAACTGCTGACTTTGTGTCATCATCCTCACTCACAACCAGTCCATTGATTCCGATAGGTGATGAAAGAACAGGGCCAGCTGATAACAACACAAAACAAGAATAGGTAACTATTCCTAGAGGTCTAGCTCAGCATTCTCGTCGATGACCCCGAGAGAGGGGGAGGGAGAGAGAGAGAGGGAGAGAGAGAGATAGGAGAGAGAAAGAGAGACAGCTGATAATCTCTCTTTCTCTTTCCCTCTCCCTCTGTCTCTCTGTCTGTCTGTCTGTCTGTCTGTCTGTCTGTCTCTCTCTCTCTCTCTCTCTCTCTCTCTCTCTCTCTCTCTCTCTCTCCCTCTCTGTCTGTCTGTCTGTCTGTCTGTCTGTCTGTCTGTCTGTCTGTCTCTCTCTCTCTCTCTCTCTCTCTCTCTCTTTCTCTCTCAAGAAAATGAGCTGCCTCCTACAAACAAAGTGGAAGCTTTTCTTTTCTTCTTTCTTCCTTTCTTGAAACAATCTTGAGAGGGGAAACAAGATGTCAAGAGAAGAATCAGTATTAAGTACCCTTTACCAGCCGCAGGATTTATATGTAAAAAGAACGGGGTCCACTAGATTGATAATGAGACTAAACGGTAAATAATTTGTATTGACACCTTTATAGTTCTGGAAAGCTGGTAGAATTACCTTTCATATGAGACTAAAACCAAGCTGATAACATGTAGAAACGTTGCCATTCATGGCGAACAATAACTCGAGCAATGCGGCGGAATTAGCAAATTCGAGGACCATTATGTACACTGTTCAGCTTCAGCTCGTGCACCAGTTCATCTGTCAAGATTCAAACACCAGCAGAACCAGGCTGCTCTAGCGCTCACTTTTGGTGCATGTCACGCATGGGCTGTGTGCACTGGGGAATTCGCAGACACATACTTCAGCATGAAGTGCGTAACAGCCACACGCTTGATATTTCAGCTCCACCCGTTTGCTGGACTTCGAGCTACAGCGCTTGAGTATTTTACTTCGCGCTCTATTGAATGATACATCGTTGGAAAGCTGCGTTCAATAGCTTTCCAATGAGCCGTCATATGTTGAATTTGAATTAGGCAGATCGACGTTATAGTTGTTTTTACAGTGCTCTATGCTCGTTTAGCATGAAGTGCGTCACAGTCACACGCTTGAAATTTCAACTTCACCCGTTTCCTGGACTTCGAGCTTCGGCGCTTGAGTATTTTACTTCGCGCTATATCGAATGATACATCGTTGGAAAGCTGCGTTCAATAGGTTTCCAATGAGTCGTCATATGTTGAATTTGAAGTAGCCAGACCGAAGTTATACAGTAAAACCTGTAACTAAAGACCACCGTGACTAGCGACCAGCCTGGTACTACTGACCACTTCGCCAAGCACGGACGAGCCGTTTTCTGTACTTTGTTGTCCAGATTTCCCTTATCTTCATACTTTTTAAGACCCAAACTTGATTGCTAATCTTTTTGAAACAGACTGTAGTCCGTATATGTACTTGTGCCTGCCTCACCTATCTTCTCTTTAACCCCTTGAGCGCGGGGCTGTTTGTCAGTGCACCACGTAAGAAAAATGGTCTTTTTTGAAAATGTTCAAACCTTGGCTATGTCAAGTCGTGAAATCTTTGGGAGCCACAACCACAGGCAGTGGTAGGTAGGACCCAGACCAGCACTCGACAACAAGAACAAAAGCGAAAATCGGCCAAGGCACGCCAGGCCGAGCGGCATACTCAGGTCGATTTTTGAGAAATTGCACCAATTGCGTGGTATGCGCGCATAAAAAAGAGAAAAAAAGAGCTGTGCTGATCGCTTTACATCGACAGCTGGGAACTGAACCCTGGACCTCTCGTACACAAGGCATAGACACTACCAATCGGCTAACAGACCTGAAGACTGAAGATACGGGCCATTAGTTTGCATATAAGTGCATGACGTACTAGTACGTCATCCGTGGGGCACTGTGTGGGTGTTATGACGTACTCGTACGTCATCCGCGCTCAAGGGGTTAATAGGAACCGTCTCTGCAGAACTTCACCCATACTAACTTGCACTGCACCAAGGCAACTGGATAGAAGTGTGAGGGGGGGGGGGGGGGGCGGGTCTCTTTCTGGGTAGTGTTTAAATGTCCTCTGTGGAAGACGCACGTGTGGCCAGCTGTCAGATAACCAGTGGTACATGTGTGCAGTAGTGTCAGCCTCCTAGCCTAGACCGTTCTTATTCGCATGCATTACAGTGTATGCTCAGTTGAGTCACCGCGTATACATTGGTGTGCTGTGCCTGATGAAATTCTAGCCTGGTCGTTCTTCGGCGCCCGACAGTACCGTAGTGGGTGGGTGTTTGTGAAACACGGCGGCTCGCTCTAGCTTGTTTTCATACTACACATCAACACAGCTTGTCACCATGCTACGCCTCAAGCAAACTTTTGTTCACATTATAGTCCTGTCGGTCGCTGAAGAACGGGGGGTAGCCTCCTACCCTTGACCATTTTTATTTCATTTTCATGAGCCTGTCCTCTCCACACCACACACTCCGGCCGCTTGTGGACATGCCACATACTACCATGGCTTGTCAACACGCCGCATATCGCCACAGCTTGCCTATTCAAGGTCGCTTGTACCTACAGCTTGTTCCATGCCCATTGTCAATGCAGATATATTCCATGCAGGCATGTAAAGATGGGCTGATCCATACTCTCACATACCGGTACTCACACGCTGATGCACGTACTCACACGCTGATGCACGTACTCACACGCTGCTGCACGTACTCACACACACACACACACACACACACGCACACACACACAAACACACACACACACACACATACATACACACATACAAACACACACATGCAAACACACGTACACACATGACAACACACGTACACACATGTAAACACACGTATACACATGCAAACACACGTACACTAGGGGTGAACCGAGTATCTATTTTGACCAATCGATCACTCATTCATAATATTCGATCGAGTATCCGGTTATTTCGAGTATTTTATCAAAATTCAAAAGCGCTAGATTTGTGAGTTCTCGACCAATTCGAAAGAAATTATCTGTGAACATAGAACAAAAGTCGCCAACGTCTTGTACAGAGTGTAAAGTAACGATTTTCACCAGTGCTTAGCCTTTTATTATCTCGTAAACAAACTAACGTTACTTGCAGTGGTGATCGCATCGTCCAAGTCATAAAATACTGACTCAAAGGCATGCATAATGAATGCATATCAGTCGATGAGCGGCGCGGTACAACAGAAGTTTTTTGAAAATAGAATGCCAATACTAAAAAAAAAAAACGATCGAGTGCAAAATTTCGAATACTCGCTCGTTTGAAATTTTCGAACGAATACTCGAATATTCGAACTAATCGTTTCACCCCTAATGTACACACATGCAAACACGCATACACACACAAATACAAAATACACACTCACACACACACAGATACATGCATGTGCACAGACGCAAAGTGAATTAATGATTATGTAGATATACTCACCGTGACACTCTGGTATATTTTTGTAAATAGCTTTTCCATCAGGTGATCTTTCACATTTACTATGGGACAAAGTGGACAGTTTAAAACCATTAGGACATTCTACCCCATAATCTGAAGACGTCTTTTCAGTTACGTCTCCAAAAACACCTGTTGCATGCGCGTGACCATGGTGGATTGTTGGTACTTTACAAAGTGGAACTAAACACATCAAATGGTCCACACAAACACACACACACACACACACACACAAATATACACACACACGCACACGAGCACGCACACGGAAATGCGTATGAATGCATGCACCTGCCCCAGACACTCAACATGTCAAACAATACTCACAATTCCCCCTGAAAAAAGGACATCATATACAGTATACAAAGAGGCATTTAGCAATGCGAGAAATAGAACAAACGGTGCCAACATAATACCACGTAACAATCATGAAATGCAAAATGTATAAAGTGTGATTCGTACACGTTTGTTCCATTTATCGCATTGTTAATTAAATATATAGCGCAGATTGAATATTTCGCTCCTGCTCTTGTAGCAGTTGAGCACTCTTGCATGGGGTAGCGCCTTTGCTGTTTGCATCATGCAGAGCTCGCTGACTTGTCAGTTTGAGCACTCTGGCAAGGTACGTTTGGGCCTGGTTGAAATCTGGCTTTGGAAAATTGATTTTCATTGCTACCAGGTTCGGCCTCATTTCCTCTGTGCTTCGCTGATGAGTCCACAAAGGACGAAACAATTCTGTCCGCAGATTGAGTAAATAGAAAGTATGATTATTTAACCCTTTGGGCTTTCACTTGCCACAGCTAAAAATCCGGTATTTGAGTGAGCCACGGAACATCCACCATAACTTTAGAACCATTGATATTTGTAAATACAAACCTATATATTTTCTGAAAGGTATGACAATACCGAAGTCAAAAACACTCACATCAAGTCCAGCAATATCTGAAAAGTTGCACATTTGGTTGTTAGAAGTCAAGCGTTCGGAAAATATACGATAAATTTCTGACTGTCCAGTTTGAGCTGTATTTTCGAACAGCCAAACACATACTCACCTGATTTATACTGCAAAGTGCCTCTGGTGGTACTGAGAGAAGCAGTCGCGAGCAGAGACATGCAGAAACCGGTCGCAGGCTGCACAGTAGGTGACGCATCGCCGCTCAGCTTTTTCCAACTCTTAGCAGTTGACACAGTTGCGCTTCAGATCTGGTGAGTGCTTGGGCACATGCATGAGAGCAACTTCAGCTGGAGTTGGTGCCTGTGGAGGTGCAGAGTATCGACGCTTTGGCAGTGGAGCACCAATGTCGAGATTTGCAAGCTGCCGGATCAAGTTCGCACGGAAGCTGGTGTGACGGTGGTGTCGTCGGCGTTCTATTGCACCCGGATGATCGGCACGGTATAGTTCGAAGATGCGATAGCTGTTGGTGGCTGCAATATCCAACATGTCCAAGAACAGACTTTTCCAATACTTTTTGCATCGCCTCAGTGTACGGTAAGCCGCAATGTGTTGATCAAACAGGTCAACACCCCCCATGCTCTTGTTGTAATCAGCAATGGAGAGTGGCTGGGGGATGTTGACCTGCGCATATACTCCGTTCACTTTCCTGTTTCGAGTCACCTGGACTTGGTCATGGCCCTTGTGTGCTGTTGACAACACACTGACACATCGCTTGTCTTTCCACTGCTGATACACCACTGGACCATCTCTCACGTAGCGCAAAGTGCCAGTGGGCGCTTGCCGCTCGAATTGCTTCGTATCTGTCTTGAATAAATCCGGCACCCCGCGTCGGTTGAGCCGGACTGTGCCTACCAGGTATGTGTGCCGATCCAGGAGACTCTGTGCCAGGTTGGACGATGTGTAGAAGTTGTCGGTAAAAAGCACATGCCCCTTATCCAGAACACCGTCCATAAGCCGAAGCACAGTATCGTGGGCCAATCCGCCAGCATTTTCCATCTGCCCTGTGAACACTTCAAAATTGAAGAGTATGGCGTTTGCTGCATCGCATGCAGCAAACACTTTGAAACCCCACTTCACTGGCTTTGCAGGTAGATACTGGATGAAGCTTGCACGACCCTTGCACTTCACCATCCTCTCGTCTATCGCGATGCGTTGCCTTGGCTTGTACAGGGCCCGACAGCGGTCCTGTACATGGTCATGGAGCTCTCTGATTTTACGGAGACGGTCGGTGGGGTCCTCGGTCCGGTGGTCCACCACCTTCAGGAAACACATGAGGGCCTCAAACCTCACACATGTAGACACCATGGATCGTGCGTAGTTTCCTCTGAAAAGCGACTCCTCGGACCAGAACTGGCGGATTTCCGGCAGACGGTTGAACGCCATGTGGAACAGCAGAACAAACAGACAGTAAATTTCTTCGTAGGTTGTGTCAACCCATTCTCCCTGTACTGCATATGATCTCTTCTCCCCGATGTGTTCTCTGGCATAACTGTTAGTGTACTCAACAATTCGTGCTACGATGTCTTCTGTGAAATACAATTTGAAAAAATCGAGTTCATCAAGTTCAAAGGTTGGTTGAAAATTTTTGGGGAGCTGCAGGCCAACGTCGTCGCCAGGGTTGAAGACAGGAAACTCACCAGGTCCATCAACATCGATGTCATTGTATCCTGACGCTGGCTGATAATTCTGAGCTGCTCCTCGTCCGCGTCCGCGTCCTCGTCCGCGATTGTGCGCTGCACCACGTCCACATCCAGGAATTGCATTTGGGTGCGCAGCGATAGGAGCGACTACGCGACCTCGTCCTCCACGGCCACGTCTTGCAGGTCTCCCTCTGCCTCTTCCACGGCCGCGGGCATGTCCAACGTGTAGCTCCGAGCCTGAGTCAGTGTCAGAACCGTCAGCTGACTCGCTTGACGTGGAGTTCTCAGCATTGTCAAAATAAATTTAGTCTTCGGTATCGGAATTCATAGCTGCTAGTTCGGCATCCAAATTCTCTTCCTCTTCGGATGACAGCATGTCAATGTCGCTGCCAATGTCATTGCCGAATGCTTCGCCATCGTCACTGTCTTCAACAGGACTGGCACTTCTCTCCAAGTCTTCAAAAAGGCGCAGCGCTCCCGCTGCGTCCATGGCCGTTTCTTCTCCGTTTTCACTACTAAAATGTACAGTCATGCAGAAAAGAACGTGTGGAAGTGCGTCATGTAGCTGCATGCACTTCGCGCGCTTGGTTCTCATTTTTTTGTATGTGAGCCATGCCCGGGACTTTCCCTACTTGTCATCCCATGCCTCAGGGGCCTGGGGCCAAAGTTTGAAGGCTAGACTCGCAATAGAACGGAAGTTACGATCTCTAGTAGTGCATCATGTGCATACCCGTCGAATTCGACGGGTAAAAGCCCAAAGGGTTAAAGGGGAAGTATACCCTAAAATCAAAATTTCACCAGTTGCAGTCTTTGGGGTGCTGAGTAGCATGGCCTTGGTCCTAGGGAGCTGAGACGCTCCCTTCCTCCTTTATTCCCAATCGAACTCGCGCACTTCCACCGAAACTGGGTGACTGTGCTCTACTAGATGGGGATTTGTATGCAAAGTGTCACTAAAAGCGCCATTCTGTTCCTATAAAAGCACGGATGACCGCGATTGGTTCATATGCAGGTGCGTACACCAGTCGACTGGTCACCGTGCCTGCAGGCTACAACTTTTACAGCGTTCCTGTCACTCGAGTTGAACCTTTGAACCTTTGACTTGAACCTTGGCGTGAAAGTTGTAGCCTGCAGGCACGGTGACCAGGCGACTGGTGTACACAACAGCACATAACTGCTTACTCAACCGTGTTCGATTGGGAACGAGGTCAGAACGCCGCATCGCAGACTTTTGGACCAAAACCAGTCGACTTAGCGTCCAAAATGACCACAACATATGAACCAATCACGGTCATCCGTGCTTTTATAAGAACAAAATGGCGCTCTTAGTGACATTTTGCATACAAATCCCCATCTTGTAGGGCGCAGTCACCCAGTTTCGGTGGAAGTGCGCGAGTTCCACTGGGAATAAAGGAGGAAGGGAGCGTCTCAGCTTACTCGGACCAAGACCATTCGACTCAGCACCCCGAAGACTACAACTGGTGAAATTTGATTTTTAAGGTTAACTTGATAACATGGAAATTGTGGGCACAAGTTATGCGATCGAGTTCACCAACTAAACTAGATTTTGAACAGTCAGACGTGTTTAGTTGGTGGACTCGATCGCATAACTTGTGCCCACAATTTCCATGTTACAATTTTCCCTTCGCTGACCATCTGAGTTGTTACGGTATACTTGCCCTAAAAGCACTACAATCTGCCTGATGCGTCCTACAATCTTGTAGGACGCATCACGCAGCTTCATAAGTAAAGATTCGCTTGTCAGCAACACTGACTCACACTCAATCACTGCTTTTCAGGAATTCGTTTCAGGAAAAAAATCAACGTTTCGGTCATAAAATAACCATCGTCAGCAATGAAGTGGGAACACTTGTTAGGATAGGTTAATACAGTATGATATCCATTAAAATACAAAGATCTGTGCAGGATTTCGCTTAATACTTACTGGTGAAACGAAGAGGAATTGTCAGTTTTGAAGAACCGGCAGTTGTAGTGACGGTAATGGTGTAATTTCCAGTAGCCCCATCAATAAGTGGGAACCATATGGTAAGACTGGACAAGAAACAACCATTAACCTCACTCAATGATGTCTGTTCTTGATGTGGTATATCAATCGGACTTCCCTGTTCTCGACTCCATACAATATTGGCTTTCTGAGGTGCTGGTTTCATGGTGGAGTTGATACACACGGACAGAACTGCTGACTTTGTGTCATCATCCTCACTCACAACCAGTCCATTGATTCCAATAGGTGATGAAAGAACAGGGCCAGCTGATAACAACACAAAACAAGAATCGGTAACTATTCCTAGAGGTCTAGCTCAGCATTCTCGTCGATGACTCTGAGAGAGAGAGAGAAAGAGGGAGAAAGAGAGAAAGAGAGACAGCTGATAATCTCTCTTTCTCTCTCTCTCTCCTTCTCCCTCAGCCTCTCTCTCTCTCTGCCTCTCTCTCTCTCTCAAGAAAAAGAGCTGCCTCCTACAAACAGAGTGGAAGCTTTGCTTTTCTTCTTTCTTTCTTTTTTGAAACAATCTTGAGAGGGGAAACAAGATGTCAAGAGAAGAATCAGTATTAAGGAGGCTCCAACCCTTTGGGGGTGATTTTGTTTCTTCATAAACCCCCTCCTTTTTGTGGATGAGTGTGCTCTATATCATCCTATGTTACTCCACAAAAAAATTCAGGGGGTGTTTCCGCGGAGATAAGGCTGTTTGAGGTGTATTTCTAGGGGTGGGTGTATTTATCGATTTCGGCCTAAATTTGCTTGTTTTGGGGTCATATTTCAGATTTACCAGTTGTCTGGCTTTGTGATTGTAAGTCCTTTCACACATCACAGTGAAGCATTGGAGCAAGAAAATCTGGCAATCAGCATTGACTACTCAGAAAAATAGTAATTTTGGTACAAAAATGAACTTCGCAGAAATGCCCGTCCGCAAAGTACAATTGGGTGCACAGCTTCATAATTTCTTCATGGACATGCCCATTTTATTTTATTTTTGGGATCCTCATACTTCATAGAAACTAGAAATATATAATTTTAGGGGGGTTACCGTGCATTTTAGACCTCCAAAAATAAAAATAGGACAGAAAATTGGCCGATTTTCCACCATTCTTGGAATTGCTATTTTTCAGGTAAGGTGATCATTCCATGCATTCCTTGTGGTATCACTCCAATTTTTTGTGTCAAAAGCATTGAATGGTCCCCCAGATTGTAATAGTATACATGGAGACTAGATGAGGCCATGGTTCCTGGGCTTTTTAGCCCTTGATCTGGATATCGGCATGATCCATGCACAACGTTATTCATGATCCAGGCTGAGGCCTACAAACCCAGAACACAACTCTTGCAATAGTTCACTCCTAGTATTTCTCATGAAGCAACAGGCAAAGAGCTTGAGAAGGATAACAATAATTATTATAATCTGGGCCAATAACTTCACAGTTTCATGTTTGTAGTACATGTACAATGTAGATGCAGGTTCAACTCAATATTGGCAATGAACGACTGCCAGTAATTGTAGCATCCATTAGGTATAATCATAACACTATTCCCAATAACATGGAACAACCACAAGTGTATGTGGGTGCATGCACATTGCCCACATTGATACATACATGTACGCTTACATGCACATACTCACACTCACAAGCAAGTACCCATTGCACACACAAATACATGTACGTCATATACGCGCACCCGCAATAGCATACACCCACATGTAAAATGCATGCTCTTGAGCTTCGTTACCATATTCTGCTGTCCATGCACTTGTGCACGCGTGCGCGCGCGCATACATACAACATGTACTGCGCGCGCGCCCGCGCACACACACACAACATGTAGGCTCACACTCGTGCCTGCGTATGTGCATGCACATGGTGCTTATGGGTACAGGTGCATGCATTCATCATAATAGAACTGGTGCGAGTAGTGTAGGAATATTTTCAAATCACTGGTGCTGTACAACACAACATTTACAAAATACTTCACACTCTGACAATAGAGAATAGTACTGCAAAACAACATACTCAATTTTCAGTGCTGCATTTTATGCACATTATAAATATAATAATTATTCAAGTGGACGCAGGTGATGACTTACTGCTGGCGACGTTGGCAACTGACAGTCGACAGGTCGCAGCTTTCGTAAATAGCCCAAGTCACTGAGCAGTAGCTCACCAACGATTTACCACTCACTCAAGACTGCAATGTTTTCAGCGTAGCAATATATTTCGCCACTTGAGAATTAGAAGTGGATCCACTTACCAGAGTCTGTGCACCCACTTCAGTCTCTCTCTCTCCCAAACTCGCTTACAGTAGGTTTTGGTCCCTGGTGTTACACAGCCATCGAGACGCTTGGCTCCGTTCTCCTTGGTCATTTTTCGCCAAGCAAAATTATTCAGGATCTCGAGAAATCGAGCTGTGAAGTCAACTTCTTGCTCACACCAGCGATGCTTTTGAAAACATGCCCTGATACCCACTGACACAACGGAAGAGAAAACAACAGGAACCTCCATGGGGCCCAGGGAAGACTACAGGTGAAGAATGAAACAATATTCTCTGATATGACTGTCGATCGCGGAGTTCAAATTTTAGTAAGTTGAGAAGGGAATTTCCCAACTTTTCGCACTTATCGGCAAAACAAGACTTTTGCCTGCAAAAAACAGAGCGCCAGACCGGCTGCGCAGCGCAGAAGGTTGGAGCCTCCTTAAGTACCTTAACCTCTTCGTTGTTTGGCGATGTTGGTGTGTGTAGTGGCTACCGAGTGTTGAAAAGTGTCGACTGAGAGCGCATCGAGGAAAGGAGGAGAGATTGTTTTAAAATTACAGAACAGCCAAATTGTACAGTTCACAGCTTTGAACTCAGATAGTGAGCTAGTTATGCACTCAAACCTCGTTTATCCGCGCTGTACGGGACCGGGCATTGTCCATAACTTTGAAATGTCCCTACCGCCGAATCACATACATTTTAATGGGGAAAGGCCATAGATTTGGTATAATTATGACGTCACTAATTCCACAAAAACTGACAACAGAGTAGGAATATTTTCACTGAAACTCGCCCAAAGAATTCCCGGTAGACGGAAGTTCCCGTAACTTCGGGGTTCGATTAACCGAGTTAGGAGTGTGCACACTCACTCACACGCACACACACACACGCACACAACAGCCAGAAGGCCAGGCACCTCACCATTATCACAGTCCGTGCCTGTGTACGATGCCGCACATTGACATGCGTAACCCAGTCCAGAATCCAGGTCCCGACACACTCCATTACTGGAGCATGGCGAATTTGAACAAGCTGAGGTGGATCAGAAGGACAGTCGGAGTTAACCCACATGCATGGATACATATTCACAAACACCCACCCCCACACACACAACTAAATACACCCAAACGCACGCACACCCTGAACTCGCTCGGGCGTTCTTTTACAGACACTGCACAAGATTCAGCTCCAGTTCAGAATACAAATAGGTAGTTTGGTAGGTGGGTAGGAGAGAGAGAGAGAGAGAGACGACGACGACGACGAGACAGAGAGCAAAGGTTAGACTCACATGGACTTGGAATCAGGCACACAGCGAGCGCATACGGCCTTGCCACGTCCACGGGGTTCACGCGATGCTTATACTGAGCACGGCAATGCAGCACGTCTTCCGATAGCTGACCTGGTACAGCAATCTGCAGGCCGCCAAAGGCATCGCCAGGATGCGAAGGCCAGCAGGCGGAGAATAGAGGGTTTCTGGTGTTCGCCGTTGTGCTGAGAGTCACAGCACTCGTTCCAGACGTGCACGTGTATCTAGCTGATGGCAGAAGAGTTAGCAGACACCGCAAGGACAAGAAGAGGTACACTAGAGTTTAAGTATACAGTGTTAGCTGCCTACAGTCCATTTCAAAACTATAGACGCGTAGGGTTTTTGAAATATTTCAAATTTGGTTGGAACCTTTTGAGAATAGTTTCCGGAATATTGCCCAGGACCGCTCCACAACTACTCTCATATAGTTTCTAAACGATTGGATAACAGACGCCCAATTTGGAAAAATTGATGCACAAAGTGATCACAGATTTTATGTGGTATAGATGCTGGCATAACGGTTTTGCCTAGGTATGCGTCTCTAGTTTTGAAATGGACTGTAAGATTTGTGACGTATTAATGTTTGCTTATTTTGCGAGAAGAGCATAACGCAATCGTGAAATCAAACTTTAACAGCGGGTGTATATGTGTGACCATAGTGCTACACGAACATTTGCCACCGTTAACTCGCTGGTTCCGAGAGATCGCAAAAATTTAGCGACGCAAACGTCGGGCGGTTCACAGCAGTCGTGGCAACTGAAATCCGACCCAAGAAGCGCGGCAGGGGAGGGGGCTTGCGATGTACCAACACAGACTGTCTGACCGCCATGCTTTGAGCAGAACAGTTCTGCTTAGGACTACAGCATTTGTAAGTCATCGCGCGACGACTTTCTTTTTCGCGACGCGACGCGTTTCCCGTAAGCGAAATGAAGTATGAATCGGCCTTTACGCATTTACATAGGAGACAATTGCCTGCGTGGACATTATAAATTGGGTGTAGTGCTTTGGAATGGTGGCAAGGCTGCACAGCCCGCCGACACAACACGCAACCACATCAGCCTCAAAGCATGGGCGGCAGCGCATGCATGAGTACAGTGGAACCTGTCAAGGCGACCACTTGGATAAGGTGACCACCTGTCCTAAAAGACCACTGAAACCAGCACCATGGGTTGCTATTTCCAGTCACACGACTCCGGATAAGGAGACCACCTGGTAACGGAGACCACGTTTTGAAGGTCCCCTGAGCGGTCGTCTTATAGACAGGTTTCACTGTAGATACAATTGCTGTACTGTGCGCATTCCGCACCGTATCCTGAAGTTGCACCACATGTAGTTATGCTCCGTGAAATCCGACCCAATGTGCATATTCTTGCGCACTCAACTACAGTCCATTTCAAAACTATAGACGCGTACCTAGGCAAAAACCGTTATGCCAGCATCTATACTGCATAAAATCTGTGATCACTTTGTGCATAAATTTTTCCAAATTGGGCATCTGTTATCCAATTGTTTAGAAACTATCATGAGAGTAATTGTTTAGAAACTATTATGAGAGTAATTGTGGAGCGGATCTGAGCAATATTCCGAAAAGTATTCTCAAAAAGTTCCAGCCAAATTTGGAATATTTCAAAAACACTGCGCGTCTATAGTTTTGAAATGGACTGTAGCACGACCCTTGACACCCTGGAAGTGGTACGAATGCGGCTGGATGCACGCATGTGCAAATACAGCGGGGGCATTGCACACGGTACGGTCACTACGGTTTTGACCGTACGACTATTTGCCCCAAGTACCCCGTCAATCAATAGAATGCATTGATTTGGGCTCTAAAAATTTCCCATCTTTTGCCTCAGCCCCCCCCCCCCCCCCACGAGTAAGTTGTACTTCAGATGGCTGACCGTACTGCACTAAAATACCTTCCGACGCCCCTGTGCAGTGATGTAATTGGAACTAGCCCACGGGTGAAGTTCTCTGGGAGGGGTACTGACTACTACTCCCACATACATACAGACAGGTAAACAACAGGAACGTCGGACACGGTACGGTCACTACGGTATTGACCGTACCACTTTTTGGGCCTAATCACCCCGTGAATCAATAAAACGCACTGACCTGGGCACTGAAGTTCCAAAATATTCAGCTCAGCAACACTCCTCACAAGTAAATAGACCCATTGCGCATTGCCAAATATGGAATGCATGAGTAATGCTTGCGAGTACGCTGGGATCAGGAATGCACTGTTCGACACCCCAGACGACCATGCCCAGGTGACTGTGAAGGGTGTTTAGGGTGCAAATTACGTCATTGCGCAATGGGTCCATTGCACCTCAGATAGCTGACCGCACCACACTAAAATACCTTCCGACGCCCCTGTGTTACACCCTTTGGGGCAATGTGCTCTTGATTGGGCTTAAGAGTCACCCCAATGATGAATAGATGTCAATGAGGAGTCGTTGGCCAGCAAATCAAAGAAAGTCCAATGGAAAAAAGATAGGAAAAGTAAAAATGCACAGGACAGACAACAATCAACCCAGGGACACTCACACACGTGCCCCCCTCCCTCCTCACACACACACACACACACACACATGCGGTGCACCCCCCCCCCCACACACACACGCGCCCCCCCCCCCCCCCCCCCACACACACACATAAACACATCACCACCACCAAGGCAACGAACAATAAATTTCGTAACCCAAGCAAACCTACTGAGATCGCAGATAACATGGAGGCCGTCTCGCTGATTTCTCTTTGTCATGTCGCTAGACTGCACAGGATCCAATGCTCCAAACCCTTTGCCGGGATGTAGCCAGGCGCTCTGTGGAAACGTGAACGAATAGGAGGAAAACGAGAGCTCCAGACGATGAAGAAACGCAGCCACGCACGCCGCGTCATCAGCCAGGGGGAGTTCCATGCCAGCTTTTTGGCATGCAGTGTTTGCGTCCTGAAAGGTGGCATTCTGCCAATCCTGCTGGTAGCGCGGCGGTAGACCCAGTGTTGTTTGCTTGCAGTAGTAACGAGCTAAGCAGAGGGTGAAAGCAAAACACACACAGAAGTACACACACACATACACACACACACACACACACACACACACAAACACACGGAGCATTAGTTGAAGCCGTAGTGTGTACAGTGCGGTGTTTGTTGCAGCGTTGTCTCCCTCCGTACTGTGTCTCTCCCTCGCATCGGTACTATATGCACACGCTCGTCGCAGTACACCGGTGACACGGTGCTCGTCTTGTTCCGTAATGGACTCCTACGTGGCTTGCAGGCCCAGCGAAGACTTACTCACTGGCTTTCCTCAGGAAACAACTGTTTAAAAAAAGTGTTATAATCAGGCCACCTATAATTAATTCGTTGTTTCGGGTCACTTCACTCATCCGTACCAGGGTCGGTCGGTCGGGTTTATTTATTTTATATATATTTTTTATTTTGGTTACGGCCATGTGCATACACACACACCTGTATATGTGCAATAGACCGATCCCGAAAAGAGTGTCTGGGTTCGAAAGGGGGCATGTCACCTGAGAGTACACTGTACAACACATACATGGCACTACCTGATCAGAATGCGGCACAGGACGTGTTTGATAGTTTGCGTGTGAATGCGGGGGTAAGTACACGGTTTTCTCTTTAGTTGCATGCAAGAGAGACGATCCGACGGAAAGCAAATCTCTGTGTGGGTTTCTCCCTCGCACTGATAATGTTCTGCTGTTGGAGTCGAAATGCTAAGCCATAATCCTTGTTTCGCTCTTCTGTGTAGTGTGAAGAGGTCAACGAACATGTGGAGCTCACTTTGATGAAGTAGACAAGGCTGTGAGCGCTGTGGCTCAAAGCGATAGGCCCTAAATCTTACGAGATGTTTCGAGAGCTTCGTCTTCGATGAGTCTTGCCTCTTTCCTGCCAGGTTTCCTCCAATAGGACCAAGCACGAAGTGACTGTACTCCTCTGCAGCCGATCAATGTTCTACTGCGCAAGAAGATTGCGTTTTCGCCAAGCCAGTGCCCCGCCAAAGACCATCACCATCAGGGGCGTGCTCAGCCCCCCCAACTAGGGGGGTGCACGGGAGCCGAGGGAAAAAAAACGGCACCCATTTTGGTCAGGGGATGGCCCACGCCTGAAAATACAGAAAAAGAGAGCCCACTACAGTACTCATGGTACTAGATATTGACAATATCATTGTTCGCGCTGCACGTGTACGTGTAGAAGGCCGTTTGCATGTGTTTTCATGTGTACGTGTCACATCCGAGGTGCAGTATTATTTTTTTCAAAACCCAGATTGAAAAGTTTTGGGGGGTGCACGTGCCCCCCGTGCCCATCGCCGAGCACGCGCCTGACCATGTCACACCGTCGGAACGAGTTCATGATGAAAATCCTCATTCGCGCGAGCTTGATGAAAAACTATTTCGAAAGACAACATAGTCTCTACCCCAGGGACGACAAGTATGCGCCGGTCCTGGAAGGGGAGAATGTCTCCAGCGATAAGAACGAAGACGACGGCGGTATTTCGGCCACCTGGAGTCAGCGGAGTTCGTCAAGCTCTTCCGCCTCCGGGATCCGGTACATGTGCAGTAGGTGACATGTCGACACGAGCGTGCGAGAACACAGCATACACTGTAGTAATGTTGCGAGAGTTTGCGGAAGGAGTCCAAGTCGGGAAATCCATCAGCTCCAAAAGCTACCCGTAGGTGGGCGATGAGACTCCAGCTTCAGACTACAACAGTCAGGACTTGTAAATAGTTGAACTTTGTAAAGCAGCAGATCGAGAAGTCAGCTGAAATCGTAGCTGTTGCAGTATGTCGCCGCTATGTACCTTGTGTTTTTTACGGAGAGTCGATCGCCACGCGAAAGTTTCTCTCCTCACCGAGAGCTAGCTGGCCTCCAAACTTCGTCAGGGTCTGCCTAAGGTACCGAAGGTCCTTTGACTAGCTGCTGGCAGGACTCCATCAAATCCTTTATTATTATTATTATTATTTCCCTCAAACCAGTTAATCATTATTATTATTATTATTATTATTATTCTCAATTCATGGATGACATGGTGTCAACCAATATTATGAATGAGGGCTACCAGCCATGGAATAAAAGAACAAGAAGAGGCAAAAATGCACACGCAAAATATGGCAAGTTAAATGAAAATGAAATAAAAGTAAATCAATCCAAAACCGAAATTAATATTATTATAAAAATCAATCCAAAACCAAAATGAATTGTACAGGTAGCGTATGTGATTTACTTTGGAGCTTGAAGTAATACACAAAGAGAATGAAAATCAATGATTAGTAAATGAAGATCGACGTACGTGTATATTTATCAAGCTTAAAAATGCATTGAGGGTGTTGCTGGACTTTAATTGCTGAGGAAGAGAATCCCATAATTGGTATGCTAGGAACACAGGCGATTTGCTCATGGAATTGTTTCTTGCAATCGGGAAACGAAGCGAGTTCCGGCTCGTTGAGGATTCATTGAACCAGTTTAAGGAATGCTGCACATGCTGAGGGGCAGTGATAAGTTTGATTTTGTGAACGTATACGCAGGAGGATCGGTCAATGTAATGTTTCAGAGGAAATGTACAGCAATTTTCATAGAGAACGGCTATGTTGGTCTCGGGCGGCAAACGAAGTATTGCCCGGAGAATCCGTCGATGCACAATCTCCAGCTTTGCAAAGAGGCCATTACCGGCGCCACACCACACCACACAGCAATACAAGAAAATAGGCAAAACGTATGTATGATAAAGGTCTTTCGGCATTCTGGTGAGATGTAGGGGAGATGGCCATAAAGAATACCGACGACTGAGCTTGCCTGCTTTTCCAGATTCTGGAAATGGTGGGACCAGTCCAATTAGCTTTAGCTCGGCGAGCAAAAATCTCTCTCTCCTCCGCCATGAGCTGACACACACAAACTGAATACAAAACGATGCACTTCACACGAGCTGGCTTGCACGCGTGCCCCTTTCACGAACCCAGACTATCTTTTCGGGATTGGTCTATTGTGCATATCGAATAGCTTTTGTCAATCAAGCCAGTCGATCAAATCTGACTGTAGACGATCCAGCGCAGCCATTGTCCCATGAGATCCAGGTCCCTCCAGGACCAGATCTTGGCCTCGCTGGCAAACGAGACTGACGAGCAGCTCTCACCTTGAAAACTTCTGCCAATGACTGAACGCGCGACGCGGTGGCGGAGCTGATGCTGTTCAAAGTTCAGGACCGGATCGGAGATACATGTATAGTCGTGTGGAAGACAACGTCGTCACCAAGCGCTGCATCCTGTCATTTGGCTGCTTCTGAGGTCGATGTCTGGACCGGACTGCTATTATTAGGGTCGCGTGTGTACAGTCTAGTCGTATGTACATTTGCATGCACTATAAACAAATTTAAAAAAATTGCGGTCAGGTGAAAAAAGACGGCCGGTCGGGTGACCCGAAACAACGAATGAATTCTGGGTAGCCTTATGAAACTCTACGGTTCGCGCTACTGGAAAGGCTATCAATAGGTGATCTTTGTAGCCATGCCAGCTGGACTTACATGACGTGTCACCTATGGTCCAGGTCCAGGGACGTAGCTGGTCCGATTTTTAGGGGAGGGAGGGGGGGGGGGGTTGTTGCACGGCCGCATAGGTGAAGGATAGCTGGTGCATGTCATTCATGGCTCATTATGATCACTCTGAACCTAGGTCAAATATTTCATGGGTACACGTGACGGAAGTCCCTGCGACAGCCGCAAATGAACACTCTAGGTTTTGGCACAGCCGGCCGGGGACAATTGCACATGAGGCGCCAGTCTCGTCTGCCCTGCGCCAAGTCACACCAGTCACCTGTCACGCACCGAGCACACAGATCAGCAGCGGCGATGTCCCTCCAACGTTTCTTGGGACTGTGTCTGGGCCTTGTGTTGAGCCCCTCAGCAAACAGAACACGCTTGGGGAGACGGGAATCCTCCATTCGCCCAAGGTGGCCAAGCCAGCGTAAACGGTGACAGCGTACGACCTCCGCCATTGACGACGGCATACCGAAACTAGGGCTGAAACAATCATTCAATAACTCCTAACGATCAACCAATATCATTAACGATCGATGTATTGGTTTTATCGATTCTTGTCAGCTTTATCGAACACCAGATTATGAAGAAATTCCATGATGCCTTTGCTACGTTAGAAATTTGTGGCACCGCATTGTTGACATCTGTAGATATCTGGCTGGTTTTAACAACATGAACTACTCAAGTAGAGAGCTTCATGTTGTTTCTAGAGCGAAGAATCTTGTCGTCACTCTCTGGCAACTGTTCTCATCTCCGACTTCTCCCACGAATGAACCGAAAAGGCAAAGTCTTCTATCCCGATCTCTTTCAAAGACAAAAATCAATTTTACTGCACTTGCAATCACCTGGTCACCACGCCAGCAGGCGACAACTTTCACACCAAGGTTCAACTCGAGTGACAGGACTGCACCCAAAAAAGGTCAAACAGGCAAGTAAGTTGTACCCTGCAGGCACGGTGACCAGGTGACTGGCGTACGCAGGAGCACATGACCGCTTGTTCAACCATGCTCGATTGGGAATAAAGGAGGAACGCTGCATCGCAGCCTTTTCGGACCAAAACCAGTCGACTCAGCGTCCAAAAGACTACAACATATGGGCCAATCGCGGTCATCCGTGCTTTTATAAGAACGAAATGGCGCTTTTAGTGACATTTTGCATACAAATTCCCATCTAGTAGGGCGCAGTCACCCAGTTTCGGTGGAAGTGCGTGAGTTCGATTGGGATTCAAGTAGGAGGGGAGTGTCTCAGCTTCCTCGGACCACGACCATTCGACTCAGCACCCCGAAGACTACAACTGGTGAAATTTTAATTTTTGCCTTAACTTCCCCTTTAAACATCATAGGAGCAAGTGTGCATCCTTGACGCAAACCATTGCGGACCTCAAATTCCGAAGACCTGCCATTGCCGACACGAACATGGGCAAGCATACCACTATGCAAAGACTGGATCAATGACAACACCTTTGGAGGAACACCGCATTTCTCCAGGACCAACCACAAACCAGCACAGGGGATAGAGTCATAAGCCGTTCACAAGTCTACGTAAAGGACGTACAAGTTCGATTCATGTTCGATGGCTTTCTCCACGAGCTGCCGAGCAACAAAGACCATATCTACGCAGCCACGTCCCTTGCGGAAACCACATTGCGTATCCGGCAGAATGTCCTCGGCGATCTCCTCAAGACGATCCTGGATGATCCGCGCGAACAGCTTGCCTACGACGTCCAGCAGTCTGATGCCATGCCAGTTGTCACCACACGCGAAGATTACCTTTCTCGGGGGTGGGGATAATTTGCGCATCTCGCCAATCACCGGGGACGCATCCAGACGACCATACCTGCACCATCAGCTCATGAATGCGACGCTGAAGAACTTCACCTCCACAAAGCACAAGTTCCGGGAGGATGCCAGATTGACCAGCTGCAGTACCTCGCTTCATGTTACCTAAGGCATGTTGGAGTTCCTCAAATGCTGGTACAGTATCTAGATCCTCTCGCACCTCCAGCTCCGGCATGGAATTCACAACATCAGCATTAAACTCCGAGGGAACATTCAGAACACTCTCGAAATGCCGACCGAATCTGGCCCGGGTAGAGTCAATATCTGGCGTAGCATTCCCATTCTCATCGAGAACAGATGATGTAGCAGTTGATTTCCTCCTGACATGAACACCCTGCAACATGTTTATGCAGCGCCACCGAGTACGACCATCTTTTTTGGCTTCTTCTGCACGACGCACGGTCTTCATGACCCATCTGTCCTTTGCATCCAGCACTGCCTTTGCAACAAGTCGCTGGTGTCTCATGAAGACCTGACGGTTTTGGCGGGTGTCATTGGCTAGCAAGATCTTGTGGTGTTAGTTCTTCTCCTGAATAAGCGGTTCCAGCTCATCACGACTCTCAAGGAACCAATCCGGCTGGGCACGGCGCTTATATCCGAGGACTGATAACGAAACCGATATAAGCGGGTCACGCATGCGAGACCAAGACGAGTCGATGGTGTCATCCCCAGGTGGCTCTTGCTGCAGACCAGGACCATTTCCAAGCACATCATCCAGCTTGGTCTGATGAAATTCCTTCCGGATGTCACTATCATGCAGGTCGTGCACTGCCAGTCAACGTGGAGCTGACTGTGACTTGCGTGGGCGGGAGAAATCCAATGCCGGCTTACTCCGCACCATGCGATGATCCGTCCAGAACGATGCACCGCGCATCACCACAACATCCTGACAGAATACACGTTGGTCTTGTCGCAGTATGATGTAGTCGATCAGATGCTGTTGTCGTGTCGCAGGGTGTGTCCAAGTGCCGCGTCGAAAAGGTCTCTTGCAAAAGCAGGTGTTCATTGCGCAGAGAGAGAGAGAGTTCCTGGCACAAAAAGACAGCAGATCTTCCCCAGCCGGGTTGCATAGACCAACGCCAATCTGTCCTAGTACCTAGTCCCACAGCGGGCGCTCATCAGAAGGATCTGCAAGTGACAATGAACCGACGCGAGCGTTGAAATCTCCTAGAAGGACCATGACATCATGCTTGTTCACATGATGAAGGGCATCTTGCAAGTCTCGAAAGAATTTATCCTTCACTGCTCGAGTCGCCTTGCTAGTTCGTGCATACACGTATACAATTGTCAGATACTGGTCGTAATATCGCTGGTCACCACGCTGGAGCGTGTCTCCCTTCATGCCGTCTAGAAAGCGAGCTGTGACGATACGTGAACTGATCGCGTTCCACTGTTCACCGCCTCTCCTCCAGGCCGATGTCATGTCAGGCCCCATCCAAATCCCAACGCCCTCGTTACGCCGAGCTGTTTCACCGTCGGCCGGCAAGGGCCTCCCGGAATGAACAAATGTGCAAGCGCCAACAGGCTAGACATCACTTCTGTTACGGAGGTAGCCTCAATTGAAGTATTATTCGTTCTCATTTTGCATCTAGTGACTGCACATTCCAGGTCGTGACAAGAAGTCTCTGTCGTCCCAACTTTCTCTTCGAATTCATCCGATAAGCCGATCGTTATGGTATCAGCTAAGCCACTAAGGAAAATACGTAATCGTTTCGGCACTAAACTATTGTGTGACCCGTGCAATTACTCCTTGCCACATTTGAGGCCACAAAAGTCCAAGAACAGAGAAATAGAAATTCGAATTCATCTTCAATTTCGAAAATTCAAATTTCGTTCGAACTATACTGCATCTCCTGCTTGTGCTATTGCGTGTCAAAAAAACTCCCAGTGAAGCGCAAATTCACTGGGACGGGCTGCCACAGCCACGGCCTGGTCTACACCACACCGCGCATGGCTGCTGAAGGCAGCTACATCCTCCTTGTCAGAGCTCCAAAAAAGCAGAACTGACTCCTACAACTACAACTGACATACACACACACACACACGCATACACACACACGCACACACATGCACGCACACACACACACCCCTACACACACACACGCACTCAACCCAAGGGAAATCGTACTCACGGGGCACAGCACAAAGGACATGACGAGTGCCGGACACATCCGCAGCCTTCTCCTCGTCATCAACATCGCTTAAGACCCAGGAGTGTATCGAGACACCAGGGACGCCCAGATCTGCATTGCGCAGCACGCGAAGATGGAGCAAGAACAGCGCATTGCAGGTGCGAGACGTCAGAGAGTTGGCGGGCAGGGAGAGGCCTGCCTCGGAGCACGACTGCACGGCACTGGAGTAGGTAACTGGATAGTGCTCTCCGGAGGGCTGCACCAAGCTGATTCCGTCGGCGCACATGAAACTATCTGCATACGAGTAGAGAAAAGAGGGCCAGTTTGGACTTGTCGTAACTAAAAGTTTAAAAAAAAAATTGTAACAAAACTTGTCACACCTGCACCCAGCCCCGTGCCATCTCCACACCCAGCCCCGTGCCATCTCCACACCCATCCCCGTGCCATCTCCACACCCAGCCCCGTGCCATCTCCACACCCAGACAATGGACGACGAGATAACTACAATAATTATTGAAAGACTTTATTCGTGACAAGACGACGGAAACACAACTAGACATGACGAACTCAAGATGTAGACTGCGTTTCACACCACAGCAACACACGCATATGCACCTACACCATGGACCACATGACGTACACAATCAGGCGCGTGCGCCGGTGCCCTTCAATGGGGGGGGGGTTGCGGGGGCCTGCCCCGTGAAAATTTTCAAAAAATGAAGCAAAATCCTGCATTTTGAGCAAAAAAGGGGGGGTTCCGGGCACCCAGGAACCCATATGGGGCAGGCGCCTGCACCAAAATAACATACACCACAACACTACTGCAGTCATCAAACAAACACACCTGTTCAGTTCCTCGTACAGTAAAACCTGGTGTAAGCGACCTCTGGGTTTAGCGACCACCTGTGGGACCTGGTTCTAAAGACCACCTGGCTTTAGTGACCGCTTTTGCTTGCAGCGTGGGGTGGTCGCTTAAACCAGGTTTTACTGAAGTTCGTCCTAAAGAGGTTTGCTTGTACTGTACTTCACTTACTGGGTATCTCGCAAAATGTCGTTGTGGTCCCTTCGGCTAGAGCCGATGAGCTCGCGCCGGCGGCGGACCAGAACGAGTTGCCATCGACACCGCTGATGCCCTCCGTGCGCAGCCAGGTGGCAAACTCCTGCTGACATTGCGTCGTGTCGGGGCTGGGGTCGGGCAGGCGCATGCCCGACCGTTGACACAGGTCGTGTGCGGTTTGGTAAGTGTGCGAGTCCAGGCGTGCCTCGGAGTTGGCTTGCAGGTCGGCGAACAGAGCCACCGGTCTGGCGAGATGCGTCGATGACGACGACTGCTCTGATTCTCTCGCCGGACAGAGGTACATGTCTAGAAGATCAGAGGTGGAACATTTACACATTGGTGTGCACGTGCACACACACACACGCGTGCACACACACACGCAGCACACACACACGCAGCACACACACACACACAGTCGTGCGCACGCAGCACACACATATACACTCAGTGCATGCACATGTATACACTCATTGCATTCACATAACCGCCACTGTAAGAGCCATATACATAACGAAGTGCTAACTCTAACGAGTTAACGAGGTGAAATCTGTGGTTAAAATAGAAATCGTGATACAGAAATCGATACATATACTGTCCCATTGAGCGTTGAGAATGAGTGAGAATCGTTACCTTTGGTACACGTAAACTAGTCAATTTTGGGAAATCGTTACATATATGCGCCTCGTTAGAATAATGGCTTTTACAGTATATGCACAGAGAGTGCATAAACACATACATAATTATATATTCATTATACACAGTGCATGCACATGTCAGGGCTGCCACATGCTCCGATTTTTCGGAAATCTTTGATCGCCTGTCGGACAGAAACGACCGATTTTGTTCCCAAAGTGGGACAATCGATTATTTTATTTTGAGCGCTTTTTAGTCCCAGTTGGCCATTCGGCGCTTCCAGGGCGGTCCGGGACCGAGCACTGGCCGTAACTTTGAAAAGTCCGAAACTCCGAATCACGTACATGTTGATGGGGAAAGGTCATAGATATGGCATGTGACGGTACTATTTCGACAAAAAGTGACAAAAGAGTAGTACACTCAAACGCCTCTTATCCGGACATGTGACTGGATCATGTGACTGGATCGTGTGACTGGATCATGTGACTGGATCATGTGACTGGATCGTGTGACTGGATCATGTGACTGGATCATGTGACTGGATAGTGTACACTGAACACCTCTTATCCGGACATGTGACTGGATCATGTGACTGGATCGTGTGACTGGATAGTGTACACTAAACACCTCTTATCCGGACGCGTCAGATACGGACACGTCTCTCCACCGGGCACCTTCGGTTTGAGTTCCTATCACAAATGCTTCGGATTTTTGGGTTTGGAACTTTTCCATAATGTTGAAGTGCTTATTTCTCACTGCCAACCTATGTAATCCACACATTTTTATCAATGGGTTCCTTTTTGTATCTTGAACATGTGCAATACCTTCCAAATAAACTTCCTCAAAAAATGATTATGATACATGGTAAACGAGTTATCCTGATACGGGCAGTGCCGGGTCCCAAGGTGCCCGTATAAGAGACGTCCGATTGTAATATTTCCACTGGAGCTTGCCCAAAGGGTGCTCGGTAGACGGAATTGCCCGTAACTTCGGGGTCCGGACACTAATAACGGAGTGTATGAGTGTGGGTGCTTACTGTATTGAACGCAAAGGTAGACCGATAATCGACTGTTGGCGTTGACGAAGCCGCTCGCAGTCCGGCCAAGCGTGGTGCCCGACTCCGCTTCGACTTTGGTCTCCTTGAGCCAGATGGCCTTGTCCGTCAGCACGATCTGGTTGACGATGTGCAGCTCGTCGTCGAGGATGCGCAACGCGTATTCAGCGCAGTCTATCAGACTGTACGGTAGCAGTTCGGCGTGCGCGGCGCGGCAGTTCCGCGTGGCCTCGGCGTGCGTGAACGTCACGGGATACAGGCCGAACCCGTGGCCTACACTCACCAACCGGCTGCCTTGGCACGGGACCATCGCTGGAAGCAAAGAACAAGGCAGGTTCAAAACAACGACGACAAAGGCAACAACACCCACACGCACGTGCGAATGCATGCACACACGCACATGCTCATGCACGCAAACAAACACACACACGCATGCACACAGCCAAACATAAACATTGAACGTCCGCAACAACAGCAATGCTGCGCATCTTGGAGACACACCTCGGGAATCAAGTAAAGTCACCTCCTCTACAGAACTCGAAAATACCGCCATTCCGGCAACAGGCTCTCAGCTGCACCAAATAGATAAATAAATATTAAACTTTGCCGGAATGGCGGTATTTTCAAGTGCAAGAAATACGCTGCAATGGAGTTTGGGAATTCTGAAGAAACGTTCCTTTACAGAACATTACAAAAACACTGCTCGCACATACTAGTACGAGCGATTATAAGACTTTTTTTTTTTTACTAAGTACACAACCTACATGTCAGTAGGGGAGAAGACAACAGAGTATACAATAACAAAACAGCAGGGAGAGTAGGGGCTGCGAAGCAAGCCTGCACAGGGTATGTCTGACATTCCAAGAAAACGTTTTGAATGGCACTACGCGAGAACTGGGGTCACGGTTGCTCTAAAAGGGTACAGTTGTGCTCGGTGAAATCAGATCTAGAGTGCATGTCTGGCGCCCTCTACTCGCACGGCCCTTGACGCCCGGGAAATGGTACGAATGCGGCTGGACATACACATATACAACAAGCACAGCGTTGGACCTACTGTAGAGGCAGAAAATTTCGTCGGTCAATAATTTCGTCCAACTCCAAAGAAAAGGAGTTCGTCCGGTTGAAAATTTCGTCCATGGATCATAAGAGTGTATAGAAAAGCTGGGCAAATCGACATTAGTCCTACATTTAATTTAGTCCAAAAGCTCCCTGGACGAAAAAGACGAAATTAAATTCCAGACGAATATTTCTGCTTATACAGTATGGGACGGTGAGAAGGCAATCGCGCCTGTGCAATTGGCGAAGTAAAATAAAAGTCAACGGCAACAACTTCAGAACTGGTCCAGGACACCAGTCGGGCACTTTGAATCGGATATCACCAAGCGTATGTGCACGTATACAGGGTTAAGTGTGTTCCTAGTTTTCAAACATGCTCTTTAACCATTGACCGGTCGGTGGACGCGGCGATTGGAACCAGTCGTACTCCGATAACCGAAACGGCACAGCAACTCCAGCAAGCAACATGGCCATCAACACGAGGACTGCTGCAAAGCCAATCGCATCTTGCCAACCGTCAAACTCCAGCAAGTCAACATCGCAAGCTGAAAGTGACCTGATTTCGAACAGAGAGGGTGTTTTGAAAAAGCTTCACTTCCAGCTCACCACATAAAACTAAGCTAGCTGTCCTGGAACAAGTCCCCTATGCTGACTATTCCGCCAAAAAAGGCTGCTAGTTCTCACGACATGGGAGATAATTTAACATGAAAGCGCTAAAACTTTGAATGCAAATGCTGTGGGCGAGAAGAAATGTGTTATTTACAGAACAAAATGCATGTGGGAAACTACGCCACCCACCACCACGCCACACCACGCCACCCACCACCACGCCACACCACGCCACCCACCACCACGCCACCCACCACCACGCCACCCACCACCACGCCACACCACGCCACCCACCACCACGCCACACCACGCCACCCACCACCACGCCACCCACCCCGCCACCCACCACCACGCCACCCACCACCACGCCACACCACGCCACCCACATCCTGGTCTCTTTACTTGCAAAACTGGAATTTGCAAACCAGATAAGAAAGAGAGATTAACCCTTTGGAGTCCGTAACTTTTTTGCTTCCGCAGAATTTGTGGCAGTCACGAAAATGCGCACTCCATTTCCAACATAACTTTGGTTCTACTTCACAGATTTTGAAGATCTTGGGCTCGTTGGGAAGCTCTTGATGAGAGAAATACAATGCGCCCAAACTCGCCAAGACCACTTTTCATTGTCCGCCACAACGCGCCCCAAACGCGAGTCCAGCTCCAGATCTGAGACGAAATCGGTCTCCTGTAGCCATTTCACTGAATTTGGCTCGGAACTGTTCAATTTTTTTCGAGTAGAAGCTTACCTTGCCGTGACTTCGCGCCGCGCCGGTACTGGCACGTGCCGCCTGTCATGAAGCT